AGAGAGAGAGAGAGAGAGAGAGAGAGAGAGAGAGAGAGAGAGAGAGAGAGATTGCAGTAATTTTGATTCAAGTGAGAAACTTTCAGTTTCTTAAAAAAAAATTGTTTCACAATGTTATAAGTATTCCCATTTTGATTAAAATTTTGTATTATCCCAAGGGACATAATGCACAATAACATAACATAAAAGCACAGGACAGGAAGTACTAGAGAAATATTCTATTCTCGCACTTCCCAGTTCTCAGGATCCCTTCCCTGTTCATTTACTACCTATTGTAGTTTGGTCCCTCTAACTGACTCACATGAATTGATTGGAGATAATGGCGTTCTTTATACTTGGACATGAATATTGACTGTCGATTGCTTTTTTGTTGATAGTCATATAGATCTAGATCTATCTATAGGCATAGAAATCTACGTTTTTTACATTGTCACAAGTTAAACAAGTCCAAGCACAATCAAATCACGATACAATGACAATCGTCATCGACGATGACATCGTTTGTTGATTGAATTTTGATTGATTTGATCTTGTTTGAAGAGTAGATTTCCTCCCTGCTAGGTTTCTAGATCTAGATCTACAAAGAAAGAAGGTAAGAAGTGAATTAAATGTTATTTATTAATGTTTAAAGTTTAAGTTTAGGCTTTTTTGGTGAGGACTTTCGGGTAAGATTGAAGAATACAACCGGACCAGCGGACTGACTTTGCTTATGTCTCAACCTTAGGAATTCATAATTTTCCCGTTTTTAATATCTCTCAATGAAGAATCTCGGACCGGTAGATCTATTCATTACAGTTTTGTCTGGGGGGAGACCCCCCTGATCCCTCCTTCACCCCAACCAACCGCCCCACCTACCCCACATTCTCGCGCAATAATGTACAAGTGGTCCGGTATTCTTCAATCTTCCCGACTTTCGTAACGAGCGACCACTAGAATCTAGATTCAAGATTCTAGATCTAGATCTAGTCGGTAACTGACAATTAATCACATCGCACAAAACCGACAGCCGTGTCCTCTTCCCAACACCTCTTCCCCCAGCAAGCCGAGAGTGCTTGATCGCGACACGCAGTCTCATTGGGTCATAAAATAAAATCAAAACTAGCAAACCTATTTTGATAGTTCTTCATCTAATGAATGAACTTCTGGTGAAAGAGACCTGTTTTCGGCAATTCCCGAAAAGTAATTTGATGTCAAAGTTGTCATAAAGGAATGTGCCCGAGCCGTTGTCAGCGGCTCACTGGCACGGTGGTTCCGACTGCGAGCCGCTGGGAGCGGCTTGCCGGAAATGAAGAGTTAAGAGGCTATTTATTTTGTTGTTTTTTTCTAATTGATAACTTGCCAAATATAAGTTGATATATATAAAAAAAAAAAATTCTGTCCTTTTTTTCCCCCTCAGGTTACTCCAAGTGTCCAGTTCCAGCGACAAGCCATGGAGGCCTCATTTGATTTCGACCTTGGTGCCATCAGCATTATGGGCTTCACTATCATTGATATCATTAGCATTGGCTCCCAGGCCGCTATGGTTCTGGGAGGTGTGGTGCCTTTCATCCCGCAGTATATTGACATCTGGAAGACTAGGAACGCAGAGGGTTTCTCTCTCTTTGTTTGCTTGGCGCTGCTCATTGCAAACATTCTTAGAATAATGTTTTGGTAAGAAGTATTTATATGAATACTTTCAATCTCATGCTGGTGATAGTGATTGATATTTAGTGATTTTTGTTGCTTTATAGTATTGCCCTTTGTGGAAATATTTACAGTACTCACTGTGAGGATGATAACAATTTAGTAATTATACATAACACTCAACTGCGTTTAAAGTACACAGGCTCTGAGCGCTTTACAATACAGCAGTAACATATAATCAGTACATTGTGTTCTGACCAAAAGAAAATCTCTCTAAATATTTGTCTCATTAATTTAAAAGCAGAAATGACTTTAGCTGACATTTGAATTTGAATGAATTTAAGGACTTGATCTCTCATAAACTACTGGGCAAAGCATTCTAGATTTTGGGGCCTTGATATTCAAATGCCCTAGATTAGTATGAGATCATAATGGACATGTTAAACTTGAAGAAAAAATGACATCAGTAAAAAAATCTACAAAAGTCTGATACCTGTGTCAATTTTTAGTAGTGCATATGTCCAATAGCAGATTACAAGAAGTAATAATAAATAATAATAGATAGCATTTGTAAAGCACATAGTCCCGCTCAACAGCAGGCTCTATGCGCTTTACACTATATTATTACCCCAGCAGACCATAGAACACTCCGAAACATTCTCAGCTTCCCGGGAAGCATACAGTGCGAGCAGCCGATTAAGCGCTCAAACACTAACAAACTGACAAGATCTTTCGCTGTCTATAGCCGGGTACCCATTCCCACCTGGGTGAAGTGAGGAAAATTCGTGTAAAGTGCCTTTCCCAAGGACACAACGTCGGGCCCCTGACGGGATTCGAACCCACGACCTTACGGTTGCGAGTCCGAGAGCCTAACACTTTGCCGTCACATCTCGCCAATCGGCGATGTTTACCACCCAGTTTCTTTGTATTCTCCCTAAAATCCCTAAAATGCCTTTGCCTTTGATTCATCAAGGGTTATTACTATGTATATGAGCCTTGTGATGGCAAAGTGATAATTAAGTTGAATATGTGCGCACACCCCCCCCCCCCCCCCTCCTTTCAGGTTTGGCAAACACTTCGAGCTGCCTCTGTTGGCCCAGAGCATCATCATGATAGTGACCATGCTGGTGCTGGTGCAGCTGTGTGTGGATGTCCGCAGCAAGACGGAGATCATTGCTTCCAAACCACGCAGATTTTCAGGTACTTTTTACTTTTCAACATAAACGACGTTTTCGTAGTTATGTACGGCTCCGTTTTTTTTCCTCTCTGAATGCACCCTCTTTGGAGACAGCACACTTTTATTTTGCATGTTTTCACCGTTTTATTTGATGGCAGCTTTTGGGTTGCTCTTTTTTGTCCGTGGTTTCATGTTTTGCTTTTATGCTGCAATAGTTTGTCTCTGTCTCATTTCAGAGACCATTCACTCTTCAGTTAATCATAAATTTAGGGGTAGGTGCAGTATTGGTTTTAAGACTTTACGTTATAAATTTTTCCAATCCAGAGGCCATCTGAGTTCTAGCCCTTTGGTCTGTCGATATGGCACAGAATTTACAGGTTTTTATCAGCTGTGTTTTGTCACTGTATAGAGTATTTCCGTTATCTGGGGGGGGCAGGTAGGTAGGTACTACGCAGGTCGCTTAGTGCAGGGTAGGTAATGGAGTGGTGTGATACTGTTTCATCCTGGCAGTCATACAGCCAGCAGTGAGGTCACAACGTTGACATATTTTCCTCAACACCACTCTTTAACATTCGACTAAGAAATACGATTCGACAGATAGGGTGAGTATTTTTCGAGACTCACATGGAGAACGTAGAGACATCTAGACAGCCGGGGGGTTAAATCTACAAGCTTACACTGAAATGGGGGGGAGGGTGGTGTCGCTGTCTCAAAATGAGCAATTTGTGGGCAAGGCTGCTGTAAGTCATTTATTTTAGTGATCCTGTTTATGCATCCAAAGAGTGGTTTTTAATATAGGGACCGAAGAGGGGTACAGCTGGTTCGACTGTATCTTCCACTTTCTTCTCTCACTCGTAAGCACGTCCATTTTTGTATTCTTTAAGTATTTCTGGGTCAAGTTGAAAAAGAGCTATCATTGGTGGTTATCAATTTTAGGCCTATTTATTTTGTTTCGTCTGCGATGGATCTACCATTTGTGTGTGTATGATGTAATGACATAACATAGCATATCTTAACTGTCTTAGCGCTGCTTCTTTAACGTTCTGATTTAAAAAAATTTCAGTGTTATCTTTAAACACACTTAACCTCTGTTAATGTTCATCCTTTTGTTACCTCATTGCTTTGTGTGATCTAAAACTAAAGTCGTCAGGCCCAAATGAAAGTCTTCTTAGCATAATTTTTTTTTCTTCTAAATTGTAAGGAGAAGAAACTTCAGTAGAAACGTCTTCTGTAGCTCCTCCTATGGAAATAAATCTAAGAGTAACGTTTAATTTAATTCCTATTTTTTCCCCGTAATCCTGAATACGTTGTTTGTGAACTGTGCTGTTTATGTAGCATGTATTTGTGCATTATTGTGCTGTTGTAGCAACGTTTTGTTCCTCATTCTCTCAGTTCTCAAGCTTGTAGGTGAATTCTCCCTTGCTCTCCTGTTGTTTCGTTACAAAAACTAGCTGCCTGTAGCGAGTACCAGGGATAGACTTTTCGGAACTTTTGTTGGTTTTCAAAACTAACAGCAGTAGAAATACAGGAAAATTTCCCTCTGGGATAATAAAGTATTATCTTATCTTATCTTATCTTGTCACATGACTGACTAAGAGTGGAGAAAATGGGGTAGCTATCTTTTCGGGAAACGGTAAAGACAAAGTGAACCCAAAGCTGAGCCGTAAAATTACATCAGCCCAATTTGAGCTAGTAATGCAGCATAACTCGCTTTCGCTGAGATACAGCAGGCCTATGTTGCTGATATGATGTCTTTTTTTAACCCTATTCGTACGCCCTGGGGTCATTGTGTACCCCCGGGGTTGTGTTCTTCACATTTTAGAATACTTCATGTTCGAAGATTTCTTTGAAACTTTCAGTATTTCTCGAAAAATCATTTTGACAGACTGCTATGCAAAGCGTACGGATCAGATTAACGAGTAGATTTCCTCTTTGGAGAGTGGTGGCACAGAGTTCCCCACGTCGTATGGATACGATAGTAAAACACGGCGTACGGATAGGATTAAGAATTTACATCTTGAGCTGCAGCTTCAGCAAAATGTATTTGTCACCGCATATCTTTTGAAGACAATAAAGTGACCCAGGTTCGTTTCCATGAAACAGAATGGGAGCGCATAAAAAAATAAATCTGAAACTGAAAAAGATAAAATAAAAGAAAAGAGTGAGTTATGTTTTGTTTAATTTAAAAAATGTTACCATGGAAACACTAATTTTAAAAGATTGACAAAGAAGAATTGTATCAGTATTGTTCATTTGTTTGGATTTCTAAAAAATGAATAAAGTGAGTGATTTGAGAAATTTTGGACATGTCTTTATGGATATTTTGCACCATGCTATATTTTCTTTGTAGTGTAGATTTTGAAAACTAAATATTGTAATGTTTGTCTTTCCATCGTTTTGTCCTTTTTTGTTGATTTGACATCGTGCTCTTTCTCTCAAGGTTGATACTTGAAGATGAAGGCAGATTTTCTTGAAATGTGTCAGATTTTTAAAACTTTTTTAAAAAGCATCTTAGGAAATTGGTTGAGCACTTACTTAAACAGTAGACTTTTTCTGGGGAAATTTATAGCGGCAACTTTCACTACCCTATAGACTAGTTCTATATTCCTAGTGCATGTCTATGTTATGTTCATTTCCTATCTTTTTAGAAAGGGTAATTTTAATTTGCTCTTTTGAGAAGTGTTAAAATGTTGTCAGTTCCATTACACATATTTGGGATTTCTTTTGATGTGTATTACCTTCCCCACCTTTCTGTGCTGTGTTTTGTTCCCACAAGGCTACTTCTGAGAGATTGAAATGTTCCCATACACGCAGATTATGTTTCCGCATTATTAATTTTGAGTTTTTGATTCTGAAGAATGATTTACTACCCCATTTACTATGACTGTTCCATATATAATCATCAAATGACAGCTGTTTATACCGACTAATTTTCCAGGCTCTAATGGGCTGAATGGTCCTCATGTAGATGCTCAATCCCATTCCTTCTTTGGTATGTAACTTTGGAGTTGTCTCCCCCTCCCCCCCCACCTCCCCCACCCCGCTCCCCTCCCCCGTATCCCATGTTCTCACCCCTGGCTCGCCATGCTGCATGGAATCATGGGCTGCATTGCTTTTTTATGCTTGCCTCTCTGTGCTGCTTGGTCATCGGCTTGTGATTATTCACCTATTTATTATAATTTTTTCCGATCCAGCGGCCATTTGGGTTCTAGCCCTTTGGTCTGTCGATATAGCAAAGAATTTGCAGGTTTTAATCAGCTGTGCGATTTATTATTTAAAAACAAAACAAAAAAAAACTTCCCCCCACCCCTCCCCTGCTTACTCCAGGGCCAGCAAAGTCCTAGTTAGTTTGTCTTAATTCCGAGCTTTTCTCTGGCAGGAGCAGACAAAAAAGTAAAGTGTAAAGCGCGTAGAGCCTGCTTTCGAGTGGGGACATGCGTTATATTATAAATGCTATTTATTTCTGGGTAGGCCCAGAACAACATACTAAGGGAACCTAAACAAATGGGTAACAGGGAAAGATCAGGGAAATGTAGCTTTTTTGAGAGCATCCGAGCAAAGGAATGAATGGAAAACCGTGATCGCCGATGTCTGTCGCAGATCTGGCACTGGATGATGATGATGATTTATTTATTATTATTATTATTTATGAATTTACAGTTGAAATTGCCCAAGGCGGCCGGTCATTGTTGAGGAGAAAAGTAGTTGTCGTAGATAGATGGATGGATGGATGTCTTGAACCATGTCTTTATTATATTATATACAAAAACGCAAAGCTGATTGTCTTTGACAGATGGCTGTCAGAGCATTATCAACTGTATTTGGATTCTTGATGTAGCGTTTTAGATTTTCTCATCCCATTTCTTGATTTGGCATTATTGTCCTTTTCCTTCAGTAATAGCTAGTGGTTAGAGGGTGTGGCTGGTTGATCCTACTTCTGTCTTTTCCATTCGTTGTTTCTGTCTGAGTATAGGTCAGTGGGTCACCTAACTATGGCCTGTGGGTGGTTGGCAGGTGCTCTGGTGGGGTTTGCTTCATTTTTCCTATCAAACATCTGTCATGTTTATCTCCCCTCCTTCTTTTTCGTGTTTGTTACTCTCTTGTAACACCTCTAATCTTCGGCACCTTTATGACCTTATTGTGTTGCCAGTGCCGTAAAACTCTTTCTGAAACTAAACAAAACTACGGCCCACAAGGTCAGTTTGTCCGGCCCACTGTCATGCATAATACAAAAAAAAAAAGAAAAAAAATCTTGGAAGATGTATTTTTTGGCGCCCTAGACTTTGTCACATAAATAATTTAATCATTCATTAAATATATACTGTGCAAATTAAACATGAGGGGGGGAGAGGGGGGAGGGGAGAAAAGGTGGAGCACCTCTGTAAGGTAGCTCAGAAAACTTAAACTTTCTGATACAAGCAAGTCATAACACGAAATTATAGTGAGCAGGAAAATGGGAGAAAAAGTAAGGATCAAGTCGAGGAAAGTTCTGAGTTTTATCTTACTTATATTGTGCGAGGGTTCATGCTTTAGTTTGGAGCTCTACTGCCAGAGAACAGCCTGCGTAGTGACCGCTGCTGTAGAGTCAGTGTTCATGTTTTTGCTTTTTCAATGTCTCTATCATACTCTATCATACTGGATTTTTAAAAGTTTAGCTTCTTTCTCGTTCTCATATTTAATTTGATGGTTTTTTGTCACTTAATATCTTTCATTCAGTGTTTTCACTAAAGGCATGCTGTTTGTCCATATTGCCGAAAAAAATATTAAATTAAGCCCTGCCCATCAACGAGAAACAGTTTTTGCAATTTCTTTCACATTTTCTTGAAAATTATAACTCACAGGGCCGCGAGGTGGTTTTTTTGTTGTTGTCGTTTAGTTTTAGTAGAGGTTTTATGGCGCTCGCAAATGCATAAGGTCATATGAGCGCCAGAAGATTAGAGGTGTTACAAGAGAGGAACAAACATAAAAAAAGAAGAAAGGGAAATAAAGATGATAGGTGTTTGATAGGAAAGAAGAAGCAAACCACACCAGAGCACCCGCCAACCACCCACACGTGAGGTGTGAAGTAAGATTTTACGGTGGAGACAGAAATTCACACTGGAAGTAATATAGTGGAAAGTGTTGGTGAGCGGTGTTTGTCTTTGACAGAGAATTGTCTCTGGTCAAAAGAGGCAACTTAACCGTGCCTTTTCACATGTAATACCGTCAATGTGTAAGTTTCGAAGGTTTCTGAAGATTAAAAAAACAAACTTTGTTAAGTTGTTTTGTACTTTACGTTCACAACAAGGGGCCATTTATATAGTGATATTTTTGTTGTGTGTAACCCAGTGACCCAGTGCCCATGGTTTGGAGGTCAGGCCTGTCTGAATTATTCTCCATTGCACTGTCAGCAGTAGTTAATATTTATTTGTTCTTCTAATGTCTTCAATGTTCTTATGGCAATCAGTTTTTTTAATTTTTAAAATTTGTATTTATTTATTTATTTTTTACTGAATATAGGCATCATTTGAAAGGATCACTGTCAACTGTTTATAGATTTCTCATCTTGCTCATTGTTTATATAAGATAAGATAAGATAAGATAGTACTGTATTATCCCAGAGGGAACTTTTTCTTGACTGTACAGGACCGTAAAAACACATGCAGGTACTCATAAAAAATTAAAAATATATATTACTCTCACTAAAATCCAATATGAAAAGAGAAGTAAAGCTGACAAAATGTACCTATCACATCAAATGGATCATTCAACCACATGCAGGAATTCAATTACTAGACCTTTTGTTATATAATACTCATTTTGTTTTTGCTGTCTCAATTTGCTTTTCAATTTGCTTCACTGTGTCTGGTAGTGTGTTTATCAAGCTCTTTATGCTGGCAGAAAGGACGAGTTTTCTGGTAACGAGTCTTGTTGAAAGAGAGTTGTTGATAAAAGACAAACGAGTAAAGAAGTAGATGAATTAGGATTGATTTATCTTGAGGTTAATAAAACAAATATATACATACTCGTCTTTAAGAGAGTGGGTTAGTCAAGAAATTGTTGAATATGGATTTATTTGGTTGCTTTTAAGGACAAGCGGGCTAACTCAGATTTCAGGGGTTTCCAGAAATCTTGACCTACAGCAAAAGTGGCCATTGCTCTACTTATAGGAGAAGTTTGGTTTCATTGGTGTGCATATTGGTTTGGTTACAGAGAAAGCTTTCCTTGTTTTGTTTTTTAAGAAACTGAACAAGGGGCAAAAACTTTACCTTCGATTTTCTCAAAACAGCATTTTTCGGGATAGCCCCCTTGCGCTTAAAAGCGACCATTTATCTTCCTGTGAGGTGGGTTTATAAGACTTCCACTCTTGGCTACTGTCTTACAGGCTTGAGGTCATGGCTCTGTCTGTTCAATATCCTTGTTTTTCATGGTTCTGTTCTGTTCAATATCCTTGTTTTTACATCAGAAATACTGTATCCAACTTTTCTGTTATTTGTTGTCACTCGTACGACGTATTGCTGTGGTGTCTGGTGTCTCTTTTATTCTCTTACAGATTATGTTGTGGATTTACTTTGGTATCTTATACGTCAGCTAATATCTTCAATAATTATATTAAGTGGTAATTGTTGTCTTTAATGTTTGTTGTATTTTTTTGTTTTGTTGTGTAATCTTATACGTGGGTGGTTGGCGGGTGCTCTGGTGTGGTTTGCTCCTTCTTTCCTATCGAACATCTGTCGTCCTTTTCTCCCTTCCTTCTTTTTTTGTGTATGTTACTCTCTTGTAACACATAAAATCTTTTTTTTTTCGGCACTTATATGACCTTATTGTGTTGCAAGTGCTGTAAAAGTAAAGTGACAGTAATTACTAAAACGTAATCTTATACGTCAGGGCCTTCCGGGTTTATTTATTATTATTTTTAAAATATATATTTCTTTTATTGGTGGTTTGTACTGATAGATTATTATCAGTAATCTCAGTTTCCTGAGATCCGTGTGTTCTTTTCTATTTATTTGTTGTTGTTGTTGTTTTGTCCTGTGCCACTAACTTTGTGGGTTGTTGGCGGGTGCTCTGGTGTGGTTTGCTCCTTCTTTCCTATCAAACATCTATCATCCTGATCTCTCCTCCTTCTTTTTCTTGTGTATGTTACTCTCTTGTAACACATCTATTCTTCGGCACTTATATGACTTTTTTGTGTTCCAAATTAAATGCCGTAAAACTCTTTCTAAAACTAGAAGAAGCGCAGGTTCCGTGGCAGTGCTTGCATGTCAGTGAGGTGGATGGAAATCTTGTGTAGGTCATTGTAGCGAATGTTGTTTGCTCCTGACTAGGCACAGCATGCACTTGCCTGCATCTCAAGTCTTTGCTTGCCAGACGCATCTTGAGAAGCACGGATGGAAGATCGAAGCTGATTTTTTCCATCCTGTCCTTTCACCTGAGTTTAGAATGGGTGGTGTGGACGGTAGGCGGGTGCTCTGGTGTGTTTGCTCCTTCTGTCCAATCAAACACCTATCGTCCTTATCTCTCCTTCTTCTTTTTTGTGTACTTTACTCTGTGGTTTGGCTGGGTTTTCAGTTTGTGTTTGTTTTAGCAAGGTTTTACGGCACTCGCAACTGCATAAGGTCATATAAGCGCCAAGGTGTGGATGTCAACAAAGAAGTCCAAATGGGGAATCAGGCTTACTCAGCTCACCTCTCTAGCCTCAACAACACAAAGTCTGCTTCGTTGTCAAGACACCCCGGACGGAAATTGCAGTTCACAAGAGAGTGACAAGCATACAAAAGAAGTACAGAAAAAATGACGATAGTAAGGATGAGGAAAGAAAAAGCAGCAGTTCCCCCTATGTTGTTCTGGCACAGTATCAGCATGACATTGATAAATCAGCCCATTTACAATTCTTCTGTGCATAAGAACATGTTAATATCCCCATTTGGGAATGACCTAAAGACACTTCTGTCCATAGCACTGCCCTGGGGTTGGGGGTTGGGAGGGATGGGTTCAGTTTAGAGAGGTTGCTCAGAGAGAAGAAAACAAAATTCGCGGATTTTATTTTCTTTTGGTTTGCCTGTTGTTACCGGATTAACCGTGTTTGGGTGTAACGAAAGCTGTTGTATCTTGATTATTGAAAGTAATTGAGTAAGTCCACGGAAAAAACCGGGAATAGTCACAAACTGAAAATCGTGAGCGTATCAGTTTTGAACGCTTGTTGATTCATAACTGTATACCTGTTCTACTGTTGATTGATTATTGTTGTTAGATTTCCCATTCAACAAACTTAACAATAAACCACCAATCAGACAAATTTGAAGTTATGAGGCCACACGTTTTAGAATTGACACCCTTTCAATTACCAGCTTTTGACTATACCCGTTTTTCCTTTGGACTCCACAATTGCTATTTCTAAAATGGTCGCTTTTAAGCACAAGAGGGCTATCCTGAAAAATGCTGTTTTGAGAAAATTTGCCCCTTGTTCAGTTTCTTTAAAAGACAAGGAGAGTTTTCTGTATAACCAAACAAATATACACACAAATGAAACCAAACTTCTCCTGTAGGTAGGGCAGTGCCCACTTTTGGTATAGGTCAAGATTTCTGGATACCCCCGAAACGTCGGTTAGCCCGCTTGTCCTTAAACTTAAAAGCAACCAAATTAGGTAAGGGGTTAATGCCTGGCCCAGCAGTATTCTGTGCACCTCTTTGCCTGCAGCTTTTCTTAGCATTCTGTAGTGCTACCTGCTATTTATATTATTTAAAAAAAAAGTATTCTTGTACACCCAGTTTTTTTGTTTGCTACTGCTTGGCTTTTTTTATGATACGTTTGTAGACTGCTCCGTCTTTTTGGATGCCTGCTTATTTTTAGAGTTTGTAGATTGCCATAATATTTCAATGTGTATGTTTGATTCACATTTGATGAGCTTCATTTCTCGTATAATTTGATAAACATAGAACACAGTTAAATGTATATTTTCTGTGCCCTTTTTTAGTTTTCATTTCCTAAATTAATCTATCTTATGCAGTTGCGAGCTCCGTAAATCTCTACTAAAACAAAACAAATCTATCTTACTTAAGAGAAGGATGAATTAGAAGTAAGACCATTGTAGTGGATCAGGTTTATAGAGTTCTAAAGAGGGATTGATGACCTTTTAACACAGTATATCGCGACCTCAAGTGTTTTCTTGTCGTATCTCCTTTTTTTTAACAGTGAAAATGTGACTTCCTTCTTCTTACGCTCACTCTTTGTCATGAACTGTTTTCGCTGTTATTAAAAATGGAGATAGGACAAGAAAGCACTGAGGTCGCGGTGCATCAACAGTGATAGTTATGGTAACAGATTGTTCACCCATTAGAATGGTAATGGCACTATAATTTTTAAAAAACCTTACTGAAATTTGTTTAGCTCATAGTTGATCAAAATACGGATATGTCATGAATAAATGGGAAGTGATAATTTTTTCTCCATTTTTTCCCCCTAATCTTGTAGTAATTGATGACAGGAGAATGGGAATGAGCGGCTAACCTTTTGTTTGTTTCATCAGCGCAAAGGTGGATGCAGATAGCTCGTCAAATCAAATCTGATCTTTCTTGGCTCTTTGAAATATTATAGCTGTTATGTAATGGAGATAGCTGTTGTCTTTTACTAGCTGAGAACACATATTTTGTTTCCCATATTTCTATGTTGCTTTAGTTTGCAGCAGAATTTAAAAAACAATTTTTTGCCTACGTTTATTTGTTTATTTGTGCGTGTGTCTTGTGTATTTGTCATAGTTTGTCTCTTTTGTTTGGTTCCCAAGGCAATTCTCAGACTCTTTGGATGAACTTTTTGTGAAGTTGTTGCTGATAGAATCTAAGAAAAAAAATAAATCAAGTTTTCTTTTTAAGCAGACAAGAAACAATTCATAAGCTGTGGACAGTTTTGTGTGTCGTTTTCTCAGTGGGCATAAGTCTTCATATTTAAATAATAATAATAATAGCATTTGTATAGCTCATATCTCCGCTCAACAGCAGGCTCTATGCGCTTTACTATATTATTACCCCAGCAGACCATAGAACACTCCGAAACATTCTCAGCTTCCCGAGAAAAATGGAGAAAAAATTATCACTTCCCATTATTTCATGACATATCAGTATTTCTGTTCCATTTCATTGCTAAAGGAAGTTTCGAATCAGGAAATAGCTATATAGATAAGGTTTCATAGACAGAAGCAAATGTGTCACGGCGTGTTGGAATCAGGCGCTCGTCAATTTTTGGGCGTATGGAGTCATTGGTATAAACTTAAAGGTTTTTCATATGCCTTGCTTTAGATGAAAACAATATCCATTTATCTTGAACACAAGTACTGATGTTTGCAATTGAAGGAGGTGGGGGTCGCTTGGTTTCAGAAGTAAAATAAGGGAGAAAATGGCCGCCAAAATTTGACAATGACAATGACAATCTTTATTCATCTCGCAGGGAGAAATTTGTCTTGGTCGTTAACAATGGCAGTAGACGTTTCAAAAGTTAGACTTAAAGGTGCACTCACGCAAACGCACAACAAGACAGGACATTAGGCCAAGTAATTACATGTCTCACGGTTATTTATATAGTCTGAGAGTCCCTGGAAACTGACAATTTACATTTTTTGTGTGCCTTGAATCAATGTTTTCAGCAAAACCCACACAGAAAAAAATTATTTTTTGGGGATAAAAATTACCAAACGGCCGGCAAAATGCCAATTTCTTCAATGTCAGTGTTTTGACGAGCGCCTGATTTCACCACAACGCCTCACAAATGAGTTATTTGTGATTATTTATCATTTCATTTTTGGTCTTTGCCGTTCCTTTGATTCTCTCTGCTTTTTTTTGGTACCTTTCGATGGATTCATGTTTGTGTTTTTTCTCTAGAAGTTTTTGTTTTGTGTATGCTTATTGCATTTATAAAGAAGTTTACACGTTTTAGTTTTAGTTAAGTTTTAGTAGAGGTTTTACGGCGCTCGCAACTGCATAAGGTCGTATGAGCGCCAGAAGATTAGAGGTGTTAAAGAGAGTAACAATAAACATAAAAAAGAAGAAGGGGAGATAAGGAGATAGATGTTTCTTTGAAAAGAAGAAGCAAACCACACCAGAGCACCCTCCAACCACCCACGAAAAAGTTTTAGAATGAATATGAGGCTCTGGTTTATATAGGCAATGGTAAACATTCTGTTAGATGTTGAGGATCGGGAGGCATAATTCGTAGGTCTTACATCTTTCATATTTCTCTCTTCTGTAATAATATATTTCTTCTTGAGTTTTTAAGTGCTTTAAACAACTCTTGCTTTGTTCGTGGGTGGTTGATGGGTGCTCTGGTGTGGTCTGCTCCTTCTTTCCTGTTAAACATCTATCTTCCTTTTCTCTCCTCCTTGTGGGTGGTTGGCGGGTGCTCTGGTGTGGTCTGCTCCTTCTTTCCTGTTAAACATCTATCTTCCTTATCTCTCCTCCTTTTTTGTGTGTATGTTACTCTTTTGTAACACCTATTCTTCGCTCATATGACCTTATGCAGTTGATAGCGCCGTAAAGCCTCTACTAAAACTAAAACTAAAACTGAGTTATATGATGATGTCGTCTTGTGAAACATGAAATCTGGAAGTAAAAAAAAAAAGAAGAAATATTCAGGCTAATAAACTATGAAAAGTTTAAATAAAAAAAAAAAATCTCAAACATACCAGGAAAAGGAAGAAGAAAATCTGAGTTACTCCCTCACTCACAGCTTCATTCATTTTTTTCATGCTCTACACCACATATTTAATTACTTTTAACCTTACCCTCCTCCCTCCTCCCTGCTCCCTCCTCCCTCCTCCCTTCCCCCCTTTTTTGTGCACTGTTTAGTAGTTTTTTCCTCCCCCACCCTCTTTGCATCTTGGATTGTTTTCTTTTTTTATGTGGGTGGTTGGCGGGTGCTCTTGTGTGGTTTGCTCCTTCTTTCCTATAAAAAGTCTATCAATATCATCTCTATCTCCACTACTTCTTTTTCTGTGTTTGTTACTCCCTTGTAACACCTCTAATCTTTGGCGGGACTTATATGACCTTATTATGTTGCAAGTGCCGTAAAACTCTTATAAAAAAACTGAACTTGTGTTTGTTACTCTCTTGTAACACCTCTAATCTTTGGCGGGACTTATATGACCTTATTATGTTGCAAGTGCCGTAAAACTCTTGTAAAAAAAACCCTTAAAACTTTTCTTTTTTTTCTTTCCCTCCCAGACCTATCTCCCCTCCTTCTTTTTTGTGTTTGTAACTCTCTTGTAACGCCTCTAATCTTCGGCACTTATTTTATAATGACCTTATTGTGTTGCAAGTGCCGTGAAGCTCTTAACTGCTCTTACTAAAACTAAACTCTATTCTTCAGCACTTATATGACCATACTGTGTTGCAAGTGCTTTAAAACTCTTACAAAAAAACCTAAAACTTTCTTTTTTTTGGTTTCCTTCCCAGACCTGGACCCCGCCTACTTCTGGCGCTGGACGGACTTCCTGAGCTACCTGGAGTTTGTGGCAGCGTTCTCCCTGGTGGTGGGTCTGCTCACGTTCCTGCTCATCAACAACCAGGTGTACATCGAGTTCCTGGGCTTCATGGCCGTCTTCACCGAGGCCATGCTCGGCGCCCCGCAGTTCTTGAGGAACTTCCAGAACAAGTCAACGGCCGGCATGAGGTGAGAGGGGTGTATGATATATATATAATGTTTGCACAATCTCTCTGTCTCTGTCTCTGTCTCTGTCTCTGTCTCTGTCTCTGTCTCTGTCTCTCTCTCTCTCTCTCTC